AGGATGTATACTTTTTAAATACTATTTATAATGGTATCTAAAAACATATTTAAGAAATAAACCAAACAAAATATAACAGATCTTTTGGTAGAAAATTATAACACTTTATTGGAAGAAATCAAGAAAAGCTTAAAAGGCAAAGGTATACTATGTTCAAGGATAAATAGATTTACTAACATAAAGATGTTGCTTCATCAAATTGGTTTTTAGATTCAATGCAATTGACATCAAAACCTGACTGGGAAAGACTTTCACTTCCAGTAAAATGGAGTGGATATGCTCTTCACTAACGCTCCCAGTACAACTTAAAGCTCTGAAAAATATCTATAAAAAAATATAAGAAGACTTTGAAAGGTGGTAAGAAGACCAACTGATCAAAACCATAGTACCTGAGTGATGACATGCAGTGAGTTCTCTGGTTTTCGTCTTGCTCATGTATTCTGAACCTGAAACTGAATGACCCAGCAAACCCAAAATGCAAATGATCATAGATCATAAAAGTGTCCAAAAGGCTTCTTTCTCTAGCCAAAGGACAAAGAAGAGGGTGACAGACAACTGTGAGAAATAACAGCCTTGCTCCAGCCAAACAACACAGAAAAAAAGTATAACTCCACCCCAACCCCACCAGCAAAAAAAGCCAAGCTAGGCTCATGGACTTCTACTTTTGCTAAGCTGTATTGGGGTTTTCAACAACCTGCTGGGTTGGTTTCAAGGAAGGATAAGGGACCATCAGAAAAGGCCAGGACCTTCATTCATCGCACTGGCTAGACAAGATTTCTTCACTATGCTGACAATGCAGAACATGTGCGCAGGCTGGACTTCCATTGACACTTGGCAGCACGTTGACATCCCTCTGACCTTACTGTAGTGGTGTCTGAAGAAATCTAGTGGGAAGTCATTGCCCACTCTGGAAAACAGTTTGACAGTTTCTTAAGACACCAAATATGCAACTACCATACAATCTAGCAATTGCTCTGCTGGGCATTTATACCAGAGAAATGAAGACTCATGTCCATACAAAACCTACACACACGTGTTTATAATAGCTTTATGTGAAAGAGTCCAAAACTGAAAACAACCCAGATGCCTTTCAATGGGTGAATGTTAAAGAAACTATGGTGCATCTATAATATGAGATAAATACTACTGAACAATAACAGAGAAATAAACTCTTGATGCATGAACCAACTCTGATGTATCTCCAGTTAATAACACTAAGAAATAAAAAAAATCCCCAAAGTAATATACTGTATAATTCCATTTATATAACACTCTTGAAATGACAAATTTTTAGAAATGGAAAACAGATTAGTGGTCACCAGGGGCTAAGGAGGAGGTGAAAATGAAAGGGAAGTGAGTGTGGCTGTAAAAGGGCAACATGAGTGATCTTTGTGGTAATGAAATGCTGAATCTTGACTATTTCAACGTCAATTTCCTGGTTGTGATATTTTACTATACTCTTACAAGATGTTACCTTGCGGGAAATGGAGTAAAGGGTACATGGATCTTTGTATAACAATTGTAATTGTTAACCTATAATTATCTCAAAATAAAAGGTTAATTGAGGAAAAAAACACACCAGATTACTTATGGAAATTAACTAACTGATTCTAAAATGGACACAGAAAAGCAATGAACCAAGAATAGTCTAAAGGGCAATGATATCACCAAAAATGGCAGAGTGTGAGCTATAGGGCTTCATCCCTTCTTCCCACAAGTAAGTAATGAGTGGGAAAAACTGTCAGAATGAGCTTTTAAAAAACTCTGGAATCCAACCAAGAATTTATAACAGCCAGAAAATGATTTCGTAAAAACAAAACAAACAAATAAACAAATTGTTGCTTTGTGGTAAGAGAGTAAAGTCTAAAAATGCCAAGTATTGGTAATATGTGAACTAAAGAAACTTCTCATAAACTGCTGATGTATCAGCAAAACTACTTTGGAAAACAATTTGGAATTGCTCAGTAAAGGTGAAGTTGTGCATACCCAACAATATCACTTCTATCTATATATCCTAGAGAAACTCTTACGTACATGAATCACATAAACATAGAGAAACGTGCACAAGTAAAATTCCAGCAACACCTTTTTGTAATGGCAAGTCAATCCAAATGTCCACCAGCAGTAGAATAAAAAAATAAATTGAAATGCATTCTTGAAATGGAGTACTATGCGACAGTGAAACAGAAATTATAAACTCACAAACAGAATATGAGTGAAATACCAACTTCTACAATAACACATTAGGATTTCTTTTATATATACAGTTTAAAAGCAGGCAAAATTAAACCACATAGGTAAACATGTTTTATATATATTTACACAAATACAACGTCTGCATAGATTAATATATACACGTATATGGAAAACTTTAAAAAAACACACAGAAGAAAATGACTAACATAATTCGGAGGTTACATTTAGGGCAGAGGTAGGGCAATTATATCACCAAAAAGGATCTCATGCAACATAACTTTCAAAACAAAGGCAGTATCTTACTTGGTAGACAAGATTGTGATCGGTGATTACTATCCTATTTGTAGAATGCTACTTACATATTATATACATTTTAATGTACTATATTTTACAGTATAAAGTATTGTGTTTAAAATAAAATACAAAACATTTTATTCATAGCAAAATATAAAAACAAAAAGCCTGAGTAGGAAAATGGATCGAATCTATGTTTTAGAAAGACTATCTGGTGGACATATAGAAGAGACACTGAGGGCTTCTACTACCTAGGAGGGAGAAAATGAGGTTCTAACCTGGGCAATGCCAATCACATGCAAATTTAAAAGAGAAACTTTGCGAACATATAATTGACAGAAGAGATGAGAGAATGTTGATGTGTTTGTGCATGGCTTATTATGAGGATGGCGAATGATGACCAAAGAGAGCTGTAGGGAAACTCTATTTGAAGGGTGGGAGGTAGAACAGGAAAGAGTAAGCAATGAAAAGATAGAGAGACCCACAAGAAAACAATGTTCCCAACGCCGGTTGAGGATTAACAAGTTGGAGTTTGGATCAGAATAGCTTCAACCACTGTAAAGTATGTTTGGAGGTCATCCACTGGTATAAAATGTACAGGAATATTTTTCTGGACTTGAGGAGAAGGGAAAGGGTATGGAATAGCAGCTGTGGGGAATACAATAGGGAAAAAAAAAACTAAAGACAAAAGACTGCTGAATAGCAGTGAGGGTCCAGCTGGGTTGGATGGCATGAATTTGTAGGAGAGCCAGCTGGCATGATTCATGACCTACTCCAACAACCTTGGTTATTATCACTGAACAACGGTTATTAAGGTTGCACATATCATCCTGTATAAAACATATAGATGCACACATGCAAGCACTCACACACTTCAAGTTTTGAACTAAATAATTTGTCAGAGGTCTATCAAAACCATAGACACTGAACAGAAGAGAGTGTGTAAGAGCCTTTCCAGTAGACAACAGCGTTTCCATGAATGACTAAGTGTTTCCATCCAGGCACAGCCTCTTACAGGATTCTGGTTTGTCAGAATTTCCAGGAAAGTTAATGGGACAAACTACATCCTCACTGCAGCAGTAAACGCTGAGGCAATAACTGATTCATCTACTCTCTCCTTTTCAGCCATGTTAGATGCTTCTCCTTTCAATTAGCATTCTGGCTGGGCCAGGTGGTTTGCCTGGTGGTTTAACCCAGAACCTCATTGCTGGTATCTGTTTTCACATCCTTCTCAAGCTACAGGTATTGTGCTTGCTCTTCACAAGTACAAGTTACAATGGGCAGAAGAGGCACCCACATTCCCCTTTACGTAGCAGCAGCCCTACCTTTTTATGTTAATCATGGCCAATTCTAAGGAGAGCTCAGAGCGATGTGACAGCAGCCATGCTTTTGAGTTTATTGGTCTTACTATGATCCCCCCCAAGGAAGCATCCTTACCTGAGAGCCGGACCTCAAGTCCTCCATAGCCTCCTTGTTAAGGGCAGTTCTGTAAAAAAGGAGACAGCTATAAATGGTTATTAGTCTATACCCACAGCAGCTAGAAAATGGATACATCACTGCATGCAAGGAATCCAACGGCATGGTTCCAGCAGCATCCACTAAACTATTATTTCTTAATATATTCTTATTGTTATGAATTATAATAATACAGAAGAGCAATTCTATGAAATCAAACTATCCATTTAAAGCCATGCAGTGATGTACTAGAACACACCAGTAGAACCTCAATTAGCTCCACAGAGCTGATTATTCACATCTCTTACCAACTAGGTATTTAGTGATGTCATGTTGGTAGCTTGAAATTGTCCATAGTTGGAGTACTTACATCCTGGAAACTGGGAAAAGCTACACATCAGATCCTTTTTTCAGAGGGTGGATGATCAAGTTGTTAAACATTTACCAGCACACCCTGTAGCAGTTCAAGATAAGAATCATTATTCCTGATTTTAAATACGAGGAAAATAAGCTAAGAAAGAGCAATTAAGTGACAGATTTACAATTAAAATATATTATCTATCTGACTTTATTGTAATGGAATATTAGGCTTAGTTTAACATTTACTGAGTGACACAATCTCAATCCACACAAGTCCAAACTTTGGAAAACAAAGAACATAGTATGTTGGGAGTTGGATAGAATTGTTTCTAGCTATTTTCATATCTTTGGGATGTTAATAATGTTCTAAAATGTTCTCCCTTTTAAATTTGTAATATGAAAATTTAAAAAATATAATTTGAATGCCTCAGTTTGAGATTGTATGCAAAAGTACTTTTGAATGCACAAAACTTAATACAAATGAAAAATTGTTAATAAAAAAGCATTAGGGACAATAACTGTGCTTTTTCAAATGGCTAAAGCAATAGATCCTTAGAGTGAAGATAAGGGTAATGTCAACATGTCCTTCTTAAATTGAGTCAAGGCCACTTTTCCTTGTGCAGTTTCAGTTGAGTTGGAACAACTTCTTCAAGCTCTTATTTTGACAAGTGATTTTTTTTTTTTTATGTGACAAGAATTCTTCTGGCCCTGGAGAAATAAGCAACTTCTCTCTCGTCCAACATCTGACTCCATAACTGAAGTTGTTGTGAATGCAGTGTTTCAAAATTAAGGCAGCTCCAGCGCTTGCGGTTCATGCATCTTCTCATATACGTTCAGAAAACGCTGTTGCATTCAGTGTCTCCGTCCCTTTGGAAGTTTGGTGGTTTGCCAGTTTCAAGACTCATGTTTCAAATCCTCTCTTCTGTTCTCCTCTCCTCTCTTGCTCTATAACCTGCTCTCCAGGAACTCCACTTCATTTTTCATTCCAGCTACAGTCTTACCCCTATTATTACTATTTCTGGCAAAAAGGAGACATGGTCACAGTTATTGGTCTCCAGACATTACTGGCTTTAGAAAGCAAACATACTCTGATAGGAGAAAAATTAAAAGCTAACTTTCTATTGCCACAGTGACAGGTATAATCAGAGCAATAGGAACAGTCACAATATTGACAAATGCGCCCATCTGAGCATCTTACTGGTTCTCATGTACACACATTCACAAGCACACCCATGAATGCACACACACACACACACACACACACACACACACACACACACAGCATATGATTATATATCTTCCTAACAGAACAACAAAAATGGAAATGGTGCTCTTCAAAGGGCTTGTTTTCTTCTGGATAAAATTTTGCAAGATTGCTAGCAAGAAAGGCTGCACATGAGCCACAAAGACACAGAAAATTCCACTTGCTCCATGAATTTGCTGACTGATTTCATACTGTTGAATCCCACCCATTAACACATGCACTTAGATTCCAACAATGACTGACAGACGTTGGGAAGGCAAAAGTAAAAGCTGACCTGCAGACAGTTCAAATTTGCCATATGCTTGCTGTCACTGTTCGCAGTTTGTAGACCATCCTAATGTATGCTTCAGCTGGCTGACCTGATATACTTAAAGAACAGGGGGATGAGAGTATGATTGCGGGGGGGCGGGGGAGGTTGGGGGCAAATGGGGGGATGAGGACACATTTGTAATACCTTAACCAATAAAGAAATTTTTTAAAAAAAGAATGAATACCTGTTTCTTTTTTCCAATCAGGTATTTTAGTTTTCCTATTACACATAAGCATGACAGCATAGTAGATGATTAAGGGCAAATTTAAGATAGTTTGAAGGGGAAAGAATGGGTATTTGGCCCTAGAACTTACCACAGACGTTATCACATAAATGATCGCCTCGCTGAGGAAATTCTCTAACCATATTCATCAGGTGCACTCTCAGAAATAAGTTCTTTCCTTCAACATAGCCTAACAGAATTTCTAAAGAAAAATTATTAGTGCTTAGAAATCATTACAGCTTAAATTATGTGCATGTAAACAAATGACTAAAAATACTCATTTTTACCCTGTCTAATTTTTGCCTTTAAAAAAAGAACTATATGATTTTCTCATGTGTTTAAGCAACCAAATATCCCATTAACTAGCTGCCCTTTCTTTTTATTTCTTGAAACTTCATGTCTGAGGCATTATTGTAGATGGAAGGGATTTTTGAAGGAGAAAAAAGGAAAAAGTTTGTATTAGTTGTTTTAAAATTTGACACTTTGGTGTAAGCCTACTCATCCTTTTCTCTTCATGTATTTAAGGATAGATCTTCAACTTTTCCAGTTTTAATCAGATATCCCAGATGGTCATGTTTATAGAAAAAATGTTATTAAAGCCTGAGTAAATAAAATAATTAAGGTGTTCTGATTAATATCTAGATTCTGAGCAAGAGCTGCAGATTGCTTTTAACATAGAGGTTGGTGTATGGTAATAATAAATAAATTTTAATTAGACATAATATGTATTCTGCTTTTAAAGGTGCCATATTTGCCCTGGTCTATGTGGTTAGTGTCAGCCCATGCACCAGAGGGTCACTAGTTTGTGCTGCCTCCAGGAGGCAACCAATCGATGTGTCTCTCTCATCTCTCTCTCTCTCTCTCTCTCTCTCTCTCTCTCTCTCTCTCTCTCTCTTTCCCTCCCTCCTCTCTAAAAAAATCAATGAGGAAAATGTCCTCAGGTGAGGATTAACCACAACAAACAGGTGCCATATTTACATCAAAATGCCCTAAAACAAATAAACCAATCACCTAAAACATTCATAACCATTACTTATTTTAAAATAAAATCTGTTGCTTGCATTTTAGCAGACTTTATTTTTCAAATATCTCTTCTGAGAACACGTAAGGCTAAAATCATGAAAATCATGGGTAACTCGCAGTGAGTCAGGGAAATGAAACATGAACACAGAATAAGAGTGGTTTGGAGGCAGGCTGTGCTTGCTGTCACACTGACGGACAAAGCCCGCGGGAATATTAGAAAGATGACCTACAACTCATCCAACAACATCCAACCGGACTTTCACGGCAGGCCTCCCTGGTCCTTTAAATCCGCGCGGAGCAGAGGGTGGGGGTGATGCCCGCTTCATCTGAAGCACCAACAAGGCTCCGTCACCGGTAGAAGCGAAGCCCTGGGCAGCTGGCACCCTTCCACCGGGAGCTGCACACACCACGCGGCCGCATTGCGAGTTTCCTCCGGCAGCAGATGTCTGGTGGCTGCTGTGCAGGTCTCCAACTCCAAGAGCCACCTGTGCCACATACTTAATGTACCGGCAGTGCGATTGCTGCCACTTGGGAAAGATTTTGTTGTTGTTGTTGTTAATTTAATCTTTTCCTCAACCCCCGCTATGATCGCTGGGATTATGCTCTGAAATTTGGCCTCATGGTGCAAAACTCTTTGTTCAAAAATATAAGGGAGGGGAAAAATCAAAGCCGGCCCACTTCTCCACCTCCCCTGACTGCCCCCAAATGACCCAGGAAAATGCATTCACCTTGTATATCATTACAATTACATTTTGTTTCTTACAAATCGAATGTTTCCAAAAGGCAGTTTTTCCGAACCACTACACACGCAAAAGTCAAGCAACTGACTGCTAAACTGCTCACCCTTCTGCGTTACTCTGACACTACCCAACGTTAACGTGCCTCCCCCACAACTGTACACCGTGGGTGCCATCCTCTTAGAACATTATCGGGAAAACATTCTGACTCTTTCGGCTGCTAAAGCGACACTTACAGTACCATTGTGTCTGTTTAGTTTAAAAATGAGGTTGATAACGGTAATGCTTTTCCATAAGATGATCTTCTACTTTTTAATGATACCCGTAGTTTCCCCTACATAAATGACTAAATCCTCACAGAATCTCGGTCTTGATTAGCACTCCTGCTAGTAAAATTTCACATACTAAATCAGCACCAGCTGTAGCAAGCAAGCAAGAAAAAGGCAAGTGTAAATGTTCCATATGCCCCACCAAATTGGCATCTGTGTCAGTAACCCCCTTTTTTAACTATTGTATACATACATTCTCTTAAGTGTTTTGTTCACAGAACACTGCTAACAAAATTTCTCTGTTGGCATATCAAGGAAAGAGCCGGTGCATATCACTCAACTGTAAAAAATACAATCTCACCTTCTCCTCTGGGGGTCACACACACCTGAGTGTTCTGTTTATTAAGTTACTATAAGATAGTGAACCTTTCTCTCGACATCTGTTCTCTGTAATGTGACACTGCAGAGCTCTTATAAAGCTGCTTTACCATTGGAGTTTAATTGTTAGCAACACCAAACAATGTCAAAGAGATAATAGAATTATTCTAGTCACCTTGAAGGTATCTCAGAGACGAGGCTCAAAATAATGGAATGAGGTGGTGGTAGAAAGCATTTGTGATATCTCTCATCTTATCACCCATGTTCTCTTCAAATTATGAGGTGTCTCTTCATTGATAGATATAGACATAGATATAAATATGGATATCAATATCAATAGATATAGATATAGATATCAGAAAGAACCCCAAAGCTATATATCTAAGATACTACATTGAGCTACTTGTTATACTGAATACTAGTTGGTATTCAATACTTTACCCATTGGGACCTTCTTAATTATATAACATGAAATAGCAATAGTTTTTTAGGAACGTATGCAAGCCATCAATATGAATGCTACAATAGCCATGAAAACGTTCCAAACATAAAAAGCATACTAAGCAAATGCTCTACATATAAGGAATATTAGTAGGACGTATCCCAGAGATAGTCATCTCACAGTGGAAAAACATATTTAAGTATTTTCTCCTCTTGTTGGAATATTGTTATCTTGGTAGGCCAGTGTATACAGAAGAGAGAACTGACCACTCCTTTCTTTGTGTCACTCATTGATTCCTGCTCATGCAGTCTCACAAGTATGGGCAACTTCATGTAGTTCTCGCTTACTTACATCCCTACCTCTCTTGATTTCATTAGAAGCTCCTTGCGAGTTGAAATAGTATCTATGTAGTCCAATGTCTACTGTATGGAAATATCAACATTTAGTAAGATACCCAACAAATGTTTTCCCACATCAAAGCAGTTAAGGAATGCTGAAAGTTTTTGTTAAAAACTAAATGAGCTGGATGATGAACAACTTACCAATGGGGATCAAATAACCTAACTAAACAAGGACAAGGGGAAATGAATAAAATTTCCTTTGTTTCCCTGAAGTTTGCTTAAAACATAAATTCCCTTTCATTGAGTGTTATTGAGGGCTATTGAGATTTAGTGAAAGTTACACTTGATAACTCTGAGGCTAAAAATTAGGAGACATTCTGGTTTCAAGTTACAAATCTCTTGGATCTTAAGATCCAGTCTAACTAAATTCTTAGTGAATAATTTAGAGAAGGGAATGTGAGGAAATCCACAATTGTAGTATATCTTGCAAAGTGCTATTTGAAAGTATGAAAATTCTTTAAAAATGTTGCTTCCCTTATGAATGGCTTCTCTTCCTGGTACTGTGAGTGGTCCAGCAAAGCTGCTAGCTTCCTCTAGGGGCGCTGCTATAGGAATTCCCATACCAGGAAGTCTGGATGAGATTATCCAACATTTACCTACATAAAATGCAACTGCACTTGTCAACCTGATAGTGATCTCACAGCTTTTAAAATGATTATGCCTTTTGCGGGGGGGGCGCGGTGGGGGTTACAGACGGGGTGAAGGGGGTCAATGGGAAAAAAGGGGACATCTGTAATACTTTTAACAATCAAGATAAATTTTTAAAAATGATTATGCTGACCTTATTCTTAGAACATTGGCCATATTGTTGTTGACAGTACTAGAGGTAAATTTGTATGTCTACAAACCTATATGCTCCTGGAAAGTAAGCACAGTTCCTTTTATCTCTATGTTCTCAAATATCAGCACCGTGATGCAGAGGATGTATTTTTAAATTATTTGAATACATTAGAATTTTTTTTGAACAACTGATTTCTTCCTTGGTTGCCTGCTTATTTGTTCCTCCTAATTCTGTAATTGGCATGCTTATTTTAATACAGTTGTACGGATGATAAATTACACACTGATATGGGATTTCTCCAACTGACAGGTAAGCATAAAATTCACTTAGGGAATCAATCAGTCAAGAAGTCCTTTCCCAGAGCACTGTGCGCATGCGGACCTACTATCCTTCACAGTGGAGAGTCATCAGCCCAAAGAACAGGGGCAGTGGCCGGTGCGAGTCAGGAGGGCATCATCGCACTGGCACTCTGTTTGCTCTATGCCTGTGTCTGCTTGCAAAATATTTTGAACATCAACTTTGGATTCTGATCAAAGATAATTTGTGATTGTGATTATCATGAAAAGACATTAGATAATAATAATCTAAAAATAATAGGCAATAGTGAGCATATGAAAAACAGGATAGTTTAATACAACGTCTACGAGGAGGTCACAAAAAAAAACAAACAGCCATGGTAGGAGGCAAAGTTCAGCAGGCAGTACCATGGAATTTTCACTTGGAGCACCGGGCTTCATATTCCACGGTGATGTTTGGACTTATGCTGTCCATGTGTATTGGGGACTAATGGTTACCAGTTGTCATTGCCTTTTATAATTCCACT